TCCACATGATCACCTGACCTCCCTCCTGACTCCACATGATCACCTGACCTCCCACTTGACTCCACACGATCATCTGACCTCCCTCCTGACTCCACATGATCACCTGACCTCCCACTTGACTCCACACGATCACCTGACCTCCCTCCTGACTCCACACGATCACCTGACCTCCCACTTGACTCCACACGATCACCTGACCACCCTCCTGACTCCACACGATCGTCTGACCTCCCACATGACTTTGCTGAGTCATGTGACGTTCCACCTACCCCCACATCACCCGCTCCTCCAGTACATCACTGAGCACTGTGGTGTTTGGGCCTTATTCGCACAGCAGGGTGAGGAAAGCTGGTAAATCGCTCACTTTCTTGTTTACCTTTTGGTCTCTTTGTTGTGTCCCGTTTGCCTGGATCCATCTCCAGCCTCTTTCTCCTTGCACCACGTCTAACTCCTGTCCTGATTCCATTCCTTTCACGCAGATCTGACCTCCGACCCCTGCCAGGCGCCCATGTGTGAGGGGTCATGCACAGAGTACCATCTGCTTTGGTATCATCACGCAGGCTCGGGGGAGTGCCGGCCGTTTGTCTACGGGGGCTGTGGTGGGACCCGCAACCGATTCTCCACCAAGCTGGAATGCGAGAAGCGGTGTGGGGGGGGTGGAGATGACCACAGGACAGGAACCAGCAGAGGAGAAGAAGCCAGTCAGGGAGAGGTGATGACCCAGCAGCAGCTGTAGGCCTTTTGCCGCTGGTTTTCATTGTTAGATAAGGGGGCTGAACCATATGGGACGTGATTAGCTTAAAAGTGGTGGCTTGTCAGTACCACTAGTGGCCAGTGTGAGAACTGTCAGACAGTGGTGTCAACTTATATCCTGTGAACTATGAGTGTCACCGATGCCATAAACAGTGTTATTTGCCCCCTTATGTGAAGGTACAACACAAACTGGCCATTAAACAACACAAAGCATTCTGATTTCCATAGAATAACAGGTTATATTTGTGTTATTTGCCATCATGGAACTGTTTTAAAGGTTATGAAAATAACCAAACTCACTATTTGAGTGTTTTTTTAGCCAGAACTGTCTTGTTTGAAAAGATTTGTAAAACCATGAAATATAAAGTGATTTTGTACCTTTTAAAAATAATGTATTTTTAAAGATATTCCATCGTGGCGATTCTTTAATCTTATTGTGTAATACTGCTGAAAATGCCAGTGCAAATCTGGTAACTTATTTCAATGGTATAAATAGTAAAATGTCCCTTTTCTGTGTTTAAATCTGAAGTGGCTAATTGAAGACCTGCTTATTTCGCTCTGATCATGAGAAGTGAAGTCATTCCCCCCCCCCATCCTCACGCCTAATCGGCAGCTTGGTCAGAGTCTGTCGGCTCCCCAGACTCGTGCGGTGAAGAGAGTCACGTTTTTAATAATGAAATCCGCCTTTGTCCTCTTCATCTGTCCTCCCGTCTCTTTCAGAATCACACTTAAATTGGTCAGACAGTGAAACTTGGCTGCACTGTGATTTCCAGCTGGGGTACTATCCCTGCCCCATTGCAGTACATATGCCCATGCAGCAGGGGGCAGCACGGAGGGACCTGTACTGCTGAAGAAGGAACAGAGGCTGTATCATACATGTTGTGAGGGAAGTGCTCCATCACGGTGACCTTCTGTAGGACCATGTCATGGACCACACAATCAGAAGAGATGTTCTGTGATTAGACCTCTGGCTGAGCAGGAAATTGTTGACCCAGATATTTAGTCTCATGTCATGAAGTTCCGTAGCAGACACAGTCTGGGTTATTGAGCACCATGACAGTAAGGGTTTCACAGCAGCAGTGTCTATCTCTCCTGGGTCTTGAACCTGCAACGTTTCGGTCACAACCTCAATGAGTGTATACCGACCAATAATGTGAAGCTTTGGTAGTGCTTTAAATGAAATCATTTATTGTCCCACTTCTGATAACAAAACATGCTATACACATACAATTACTTAAATATAACGTGTGTTCGAGACAGGCCTACTTCTAGATATAATACCTTTACATTTCAATACTTTAACAGTTTAATAGGCTGAGTCGTCATACAGGTGATATTAAATTTACGTAAGGAAATGACTCACCGCTTCTCGGTTATGTAATTGACAGATATGTTTACACCAGGTCACTTATAATCGATACTGTGATTTTTAATGATATGGCGCTAGCCACACTGGTCCTATGATATTTTTTAATTAGGCTAGATTATTTCTGCAAGTGTCCCCGTTGCTTTCCTTTGAGTTTCGCGGAAAATAATAAAATAAAACCGTAAAAAATCGAAAAGCACACCAACCTCTAATATAGCCACTCTCCTTCCCATTTCTGCGCTCTTTCTGCGGAATACCCGAAAGTAAGATTCTCTCGCAAGAGAGACTTATAAGTTGTGAAATTTGAGTTTAAGCAATTAGTTATTAAATGTGTTGATTATCCTAGTACTATTACAGAAATTCATAAATTCTACTTAATCTGAAAAATATTTACAGACAACTAAATCTGGACAACTGATTGTGTAGCTATGAGTAAAATGACACAACGCGGGTTTCTTTCACACCGGCATGGAGACGCGCGCATCGAGCTGCTTTGTGCGCGTATGCACCGCGGGGTTAAGCACCACGCCATTGACGCCCTGATGTCCGCGGACACACGTGGGACGCTCTGCGGTGCTTCGTGTCGGGGGCTCCCGTCGGTCAGCTACGCGGAGCATAAGGCAGGACATCGGCAGCGGCTCCGCGATGCTGCGCGATTCTGGATGCGATCCGGTGGTTTTAAAAGCGTGTCAGGCGCGTGACGCCGGCGCACGTCGCGTTTCATTGAGTCACCGAACTGCATCGTATGGAATTACGATTCATTCGCGTAATCGGAGAGGTTATATAGTACAGGGGTGAAGACGGACAAACAAACTATAGAGTAAGTTCTTCAAACAAAAGGTATAAAGCAAACTTTTATATTCTTTTTCTCCTTTCATCTTTACTCTGAGCTGCATCACAAGTGGCATCATCTACGTAAACTCCGAAAACCGGGTAAGATTTGTTTCTGTTCATCTTGTATAATGCTGCAATTTAAAGAACTTTTTGACATTAATTTACGTTATGTGATGTATTTAGTTTAAAATGTGAATTCATTCTTTTTCTTATGTGCAGCCTACCTTAGTGTATCAGGTACTGAGATTTTGCTTTAGCCGATATAAAAGATATTAATTTTTAAAGCAAAATTAGACTAGTCTAAATTACACCCACAATTACTTGGGTTTGCATGCTTCTGTAAATGTATTTAGTAAGATCTTTTAATAAATACTTTTAAAAGTTTGCATCAGAGGGCATTCTGTCATAGCTCCGCATTTCTGGTTAAAGCTTAATACCGACTTTATAACGGGACTTTTTCACACGTGTGACACTGACTCGCGCTCTTACACACGGGTCTGTCATATTTGTAACAGATATTTGATAAATATGGATCATCCGTAACAGGGGACATTTCTGTGCGAGGCTCCCAACTCGCTCTGCTTCTCTTGCCCTTGCGGGCTTCACACGGCCCCGTCCTGTCCGGGTACCGGCGCGGCTGTAGCTCCGGAGCTGGGGCGGCTCTGATGATGGAGCAGATGGCCCAGATCCACCCACCCTGGGCGTCATCTGCACTCCATACATTTTATTTCCGCCGTGTCACACGAGTAGTAGGCTACACAAAGGCTATTAAACCATAAAGGTTCACGGTTAATACCCGCATTTTCAGATAAGCAGAGTGGTGCGGGAAACGGAGAAATGATCAAAATCAAGCCAAACCAGCATTCGACGCGGAGTTATCAGGACAGTTAAGGTTTCCTGGATATATTCGGATAAAGCAGATTGTTTACTTTGAGGTTAACATTTATTTTCCATAATTTTGCAAATGGTATGCAAACTTTATTGAATTAGTCCAATCAAAGGAAATTGTGCTGTGGCATTGCGCGCTGTAAGCCATCTAAACCGCAATGTCGTCGTAACATCCATCCATGCATCCATCCATCTATCCATGCAGACATCATGCTGCTGCCCCTGAAAGCTCTGGTGATGCTCGCCGTCCTGTGCGCCCCCACCTACGGCCTCTGCTTCAGGCTCTACGACAGCGACTCCAGGCTCCTGTGCGACAACGACGTCCTTTCAGGGACCAAAAAGGGCGACCTCTCCCGGGACTCGCTGCCGGACGCCCGGGGCTTTCTCTACCTGCCCGGGTACCTGCCGTCTAATGCCGAGAGTCGGGAGAAAAGGACGTTTCCTGCTTCTAGCTACAGGTACCTGAGCCAGACGCAGCTGAGGGGTAAGATGTACCAGAACAGCGCCAAGAGCGACCGACAAGCCAAGTTCACTCTCTCCCTGGACGTGCCGACCAACATCATGAACATCCTTTTCAACATCGCCAAAGCCAAGAGCCTCCGCGCCAAGGCGGCGGACAACGCGCGTCTCATGGCACAAATCGGCAAAAGAAAGTAAAGCCGCAGATCAGCCGGCTGCGTGCGGTGTGTATCTGTCCGTTTTGTTATGCTGAGTCCATGTGCTCAGAACATACCCTCAATACATGTTAAGTGTCTTTTTCCGGACATAATATGACAGTCTAATGATAAAAAAGAAAGAAAACCGCAGGACTACTGAAGCATAAGGATTACTGTACCTGCTATATGTGTAAATAATGAATGCGTTACAGATTGCAAAAGCTGTAAATAAAATCCACAGGACACGGAGTGTCTGCTGATTTCGAGTGGTACGTCTTTATAGACTACTGATTTACTACTGTAGTTAGGCATAGTTTAAAGTCGCGCGTTTATTTGCCCAGTAATATGTTTATCTCTTAAAAAAAACTTAAGGTTGAATATTTACATTAACCACTATTAGCTTTTAGAAGATATAGTTAGGCATAGTTTGAATGAGGTAAATCAGTAGTCTATAAAGACGTATCACTCGAAATCAGCAGACACTCCGCGTCCTGTGGATTTTATTTACAGCTTTTGCAATCTGATTAATACCGGTCTGTTTTCCCTCTGGATGCATACAAAATGTTATTTTAATGATCATTCGAGTCAAGGACGCTTAGAAACTTTAAATTCAATGAATCCCTTATATTCCATCGTGCTTACGCCAGTGATGATCGGTTGACTTAATGTTAGTCAAGATTCTTAATTGCTGAAAAGACATCTAAACATTAAATTATGCCACAGTGTTTAATGTTATCTAAAATGCTTTTATTCACTTTGTGATCATGATACTGTTGGTGACACATCACGTGCGTATATTAACTCAGTTTCAAAACTTTGTAAAAATCGATTTTGGTGGCTGTTTAATAAACTATAAACGCACAGCAGACAAATAAATCCATATACTTGTTGATGTATCATATATGGCACTAGATAATGTTCTGCCTTCAGATTCTGACATTTATTTTTGTACTGAAAGGGACTGTGTTTCTCTAATAAATTTAAGCATAGATACTATTTTGTATTTTTTTTTCCTGGGAACTGTAAATGCGTCACTGTAATATCAGCGTTGAGAAAGATCTGTAAGCTTGCACAGGACAAATGGTGGTTTACATGTGCAGTTCATATGAATAGACGATATTCTGGGGGTTTACACGATTTACCGTCAGAGGATCGCAGCAAAGAAGATCCGTTACTTTACCTTCTAAAAGCTGACTCTTCGTCGACCGTCATACCTTCATTCTGTATGGATCCCACATAAACATTACCCTGTTTCTCTCGTAAGGCCCTCTGGCTGAATACTTAAAACACCAAGCATAAAGTCGCGCGTTTATTTGCCCAGTAATATGTTTATCTCTTAAAAAAAAACTTAAGGTTGAATGTTTACATTAACCACTATTAGCTTTTAGAAGATGTAGTTAGGCATAGTTTGAATGAGGTAAATCAGTAGTCTAATGGAATACTTTAAACTACATTAGTTATTTGACGAAAGATTTATTTCAGCGTTGAAACAGCAGCAGACATTTTATGTTTGGTTCAGCTTTGTTGACACCCTTCTCTTTGTAAGTGTGAGGTGTGACAAACTTTCACCTAATGTGGGACAGTGACCGTGTCGCTTGATGTTCAGATATGTTTTTGACACATTGGACAGTCACATTGGACAGTCACGGCTGCTGGAGGTTTTGGGCCCAATGAAAGCGCATCATCTCGGGCGCCCAAACCAGTCCAATTATGTTCTCAGGGGCCCTTGGAATCGTCCTAACCACCCTCCCTTTATGGTGCCCCTAGTCACGGCCGCCCAGTTGGGGGTGGTCACAGGCCGGATGAGAAGCTTGGCAAGTTTGGCACTCAAAATGACGATTAAAAAAAAAACAAAGTTTTGGGAAAATCTGATCTGGGACAACAGAACTGTCAAATTAGATTTGCAGAGGTCATACACTGTAAACTCCATGTACACACGAAAAATCCCAAGGTTAGCTTCATTATATTATCTATTTTGTGAGAATTATTTTAAAAAGTTGATTTTAAAAAACAGCACTTCGTTTGACTGCACCAGAGCTGTCAATTTTGGTTGCAGTAATTGTATGGATTACAAGAAATGGGAGTAAAAAAAGAATAACACACTGTTTGTTTTTAAAAGTATGTCCTTAATGACAATTAAGAGCAATATATGTTAACAGAATATTTCTTTGTCCTAGAGTTTAACAGTGGTACTTTGAAAGCTGGTGTGCCGCCGCTTCGTGCCGCACGTCGTGTCGCCTGCGGGGGGCGCTGATTCCCGAGTACGGTTCTGCGTTCAAGCGTCAGCTCGGTGTAGCGCTGTAGCGGGTGCCTCTTCATCATCATCATCATCCCGGAGGACAGGAAACGTGGTCGATACGCTGAACGCCGGGTATGTTTGATAACGTTATTACTGTCCGGCATTGTGCTGGATCCTGTCTATATGCGCTGTATGAAAACTAAAAAGTATCCATTGTCTCAGAACTAGAGAAAAAAACTGAGAAACAGAGACTAATCGCGCTCATTTTGAAGGATCGCAAAGTCATTGGTTTTCAAAGTCTTAAAGTTTACCGCCGGCTTTACGTTTAACCTAATGTGGTAATTTTGTCCATGCGGGGGAATTTTCACATATAACGAAGATGATGTTCTTACGTTATGTATGAAAGTTTATGCGACCCTGACAGCTCACACACAGTTGATTTACAATGTCTGATTTAAGCAGGAAATCATCAATCCGGTGCTGCAGTGGAAACAACTGAACTGGTATTTATCACTGTGCTTTGTGTACATTTGATCTTTCAGGATTAATTCGCTCCCTGTCTGCCCGCCCAATATCATTTAGACATGTTTTTATTATTATTATTATTATTATTATTATTATTATTATTATTATATGGATGGATGGAATGTTGAGCAATCTCTGTCCTGTTTGTCCGTCCCCTGCAGTGGCACAGTTTGGCCAGCAGAGGGAGATAATATGCAGCGTTTCTTTACTTAATAACTACAGATGTTGTACGGTGGGACTGGATTTTGCCCTGTTGCACATCACCAGCAGCACGTTCACTGTGGTGACTCTTTGTAACAAGTGTCATTTTAAACCCCACGAATGAACTGAGAATCCTGCAATGTCTGTATGCATGGATAATGTAATATAATATAAACCTAACACACACACACACACACACAATTCAATTCAATTCAGTTTTATTTATATAGCGCTTTTAACAACAGTCATTGTCACAAAGCACTTTACGTATAACTAGCCCGAACCCCCACCAAGCAAGCCTGAGGTGACAGTGGCAAGGAAAAACTCTCTCTAGCAGGAAGAAACCTTGAGAGGAACCTACGGGGTGTAGGACAGGGACACAGCCTGGGTGTGATGCCAGTTCATCACAGGGCACAGACACTGTGGCAGTTTAGAGCGACACACTGCGGGGAGAAGATGCACATCTACACAAGCAGGGCGGAGCTTATCCTCCACCACGTCACCAAGACATGTTACGTCCATACTAATTACGTTTCATTAATTTAAAAATGCTGAGGCTGGGCCTGGTCACATGACCAGAAGTAATCTGAGGTAGTAAATGTAAATTGTTTTGCTAACCATCTAGATCTTTAATAAATGTAAAAGAAATTAGAGTCCAAAGTTAAATTACTGATGTGTCCCTAAGATATAAACCTATCATGTATGCAAGCAAAACGACCAGCAGAATTAATTTGCCTAAGAACTGAGTGTTTATCAGCTGAGTGCTGAAGAGTGGTCGTTGTGCTTGCGTGCTTGATCTTCACGTTGCGTGAGGCCATGAGGAGGTCTCTCAGCCTCCATCGCCAGCTGAGCCATGCTGTCTTCCTCAATCCCTCTATGACTGTTCTTTACTTTCTGACTTAATACTTTCCTGTTTAATGAACATTGCTCTCTGTACTGCTTGATGTTTTGTTTTTCCTTCTCTTTGTAAAGCGACCTTGGGTTTGTGAAAGGCGCTACATAAATGTAGCATAATTATATCATCATTATGTTCTTAAAACTGTCTGTATGAATGAACATGAGAATCTTCTGGTGAAGACAGAGCCGGCAGTCAAAGCCAGAGAAGACTTCACGATAGCTACAATGTGGTACGTGCCTCTCTCTCTGCCTGCCTGTCTATGTCTATCTGTCTCTGTCTGTCTGCTTACCTGTCTGTCTGTCTGCCTGACAGTGTTTTATGTGTGTGTGTTTGTCTGTCTCTGTCCGTTTGCCTCTCTCTCTGCCTGCCTGTCTCTGTCTGTCTGTCTGCTTAACTGTCTGTCTGCCTGACAGCGTTTTATGTGTGTGTGTCTGTCTCTGTCCGTTTGCCTCTCTCTCTGCCTGCCTGTCTCGGTCTGTCTGTCTGCTTACCTGTCTCTCTGTGTGTGGAATCGTCCTGATAGCATGCTGTGGTTTTACCATTTCATTTTGCATAGCAAAACATCAGTGCTTTTTATTTGTATTGCGTTGTGTGTATTGGGGATTTCCCGCATGCCTTCTCTTTCAGCTATGAATGTTCCTCTCTGTCAGTCTTCCTCCCCCTGTGAAAAGAGAGTAGAATAGAATAGAATCATACATTTCCAGTACAATAAAATTTCTTATGCATTACTCGGAATGGTTGGTGTTAAAAAGCCACGAAATACAAAGAAATTTAACAAGCAATTTAAAATATACTGCATAAAAAGTAGAATGTACTGTACATTACAGTAAAATAAGAATAAAATAAGAATAAAAATATGTCAATTGAGTTTATGAACATAGTGCATTTTGCACATAAACAGACATTGTTGCACATGATAGGTAGCACTGCATGTACAGTAACAGTCACATGACAGATATTTCTGTACCTGACAGATATTTCTGTACCTGACAGTTGGGGATCTATGGGGTGAAGGTGGCAGTGTTTCAGAGAGTCCAGTTGAGTGATAGCTTAGGAGTAGAATCTGAAGGTCTCCCATCCAGTGCTCTGTTTAACTCCTCCCTGCTTCCCCTGTCCTCACCTTTCAGGCACACAGACCTGCCCTCTGTCCTCACCTTTCAGGCAAAAAGACCTGCCCTCTGTCCTCACCTTTCAGGCACACAGACCTGCCCTCTGTCCTCACCTTTTAGGCACACAGACCTGTCCTCTGTCCTCACCTTTCAGGCACACAGACCTGCCCTCTGTCCTTACCTTTCGGGCACATAGACCTGCCCTTTGTCCTCACCTTTCGGACACACAGACCTGCCCTTTGTCCTCACCTTTCGGGCACTCAGGCCTGCCCTCTGTCCTCACCTTTCGGGCACTCAGGCATGCCCTCTGTCCTCACCTTTCAGGCACTCAGGCCTGCCCTCTGTCCTCACCTTTCAGGCACACAGACGTGCCCTCTGTCCTCACCTTTAAGGCACACAGACCTGCCCTTTGTACTGTACTCACCTTTCAGGCACTCAGGCCTGCCCTCTGTCCTCACCTTTCAGGCACACAGACATGCACTCTGTCCTCATCTTTTAGGCACACAGACATGCCCTCTGTCCTCACCTTTAAGGCACACAGACCTGCCCTTTGTACTGTCCTCACCTTTCAGGCACTCAGGCCTGCCCTCTGTCCTCACCTTTCAGGCACACAGACATGCACTCTGTCCTCACCTTTCAGGCACTCAGGCCTGCCCTCTGTGCTCACCTTTCAGGCACACAGACGTGCCCTCTGTCCTCACCTTTCAGGCAAACAGACCTGCCCTCTGTCCTCACCTTTCGGGCACTCAGGCCTGCCTTCTGTCCTAACTTTTGTGGCATACACGTCTGCCCTCTGTCCTCTCCCTTTGGCTACACAGACCTGCCCTGTCCTCACTTTTCAGGCAGGCAGGCCTACCCTCTGTTTCGACCTTTCAGGTACACAACCTCTGTCCTCACATTTTGGGCACGCGGTCCTGCCCTCTTTCTCTCTTCTAGAGTTACTTCTGCCTAATGGGGATGCTGAGAGTAAGGATGACTGCATTTGGGCATTGCTGTAATGATACTTTGGTGGAATTTGCAGCAAGTGTAAATGCGAAACCTGAAAGAGCTGCATGGGTCCACCATCCCGTAGGCCCACTACCTGCAGGGGGGACCATTGGGATCTGGTGCATTGTGGCTCGGGGCAGCAGTCGAAGGCAGGGACATTGCCAGACCAATACCTGGCCCCATCCTGGGTTATTCCCTGCCTTGTGCCCATAGCTTCTGGAATAGGATCCCCACACCCCTGCATAGGACAAGTGGGTATGGAAAATGGGTGGATGGAGTTTACATCACACAAAAGAGTACAAACATAGTTTTGATAAGTAAAGCTATTGCATTTTATTTATTCTTATCATGTGTGTTTGTGCCTACACAACATCTCACAGTAAAAGTCGAATTTAAGTTGGGCTAAGACTGATATATCCAGGCTTGGATCGGACCCTACATCACGTGTAATATTTTCATAGATGGCAGAGCCCATGATTTTTTACTATTAACCTGTAAAGTTCTTTGGGATCAGAATTACAGATCACCAGAGCAACCCTGTAACCAGTCAGTTTGTTTCAGACCTACTTTTTACTTGTTCTCCTCAATGTGGTCCATCCTTCTGTTTCTCCATTCCACTTACCCACTACAGGGCAGCAGTGAGTTTGGAGTCTATCCCAGATAAACAGAGCTTGTGTACATGCACATCTTTACCTTCACCTTGCCTTTTTCGACTGTTGGGTATTCTTACTCATTTCATCCACATGGGGGCACTGTGTGACCATGACAAAGATCTGTCTTTTCTTTTTCATGTTTTTGCAGTAGGAGACTTAAAATACAGACACATGCTACTCCATTGTGTGTGGCTCAGTGGGTTAGGGACCTGTAACTATATCCAGGTGGCCATAGGTTTGAATCCCATGCTGGAAGTGTAATCACATCACTGCCGTACCCTTTACTCCAGGGTTGCTCTCTGACCCCGATATCAAGTTACATTGGTAACTTAAAAAAGGGAAGACACGTTTGAAAAACTAGTTTAATTGGCATAAAATATTTCCAAAATTTCTTGATGCTCAGGGCAACTTACCAGTTCATAGCAAGATGGTACTCAAGCCCCAGTTACAAAACACCGAGCTTTAGAACAACTGCAGTCTCTCTGGGTCATACATTCATATCAGTAGTCATCTAATCAAACATTAGCCAGAGTTCTCTCGCACATATTGCATCTCGTATGGAAGACTGAAGAAAAATAAACACTGTTTTGACAACTGTCAACATGATGACTAGAGGTTCACCCTGAACATGTGATTGAAACCACTACGTTCATGTGAACAGAGCCCCGCGCTGAATCGTTTGCATAGAGCAGTTTGCTGGTTCAGTTATGGCACAGTCTGAGCCGTCTAGGGTCACCCGGCTTAGCGCATGGACGCAAACAAGCTGCATGTCTGGATTGGATGGGAGATCTTCAGAAGGAGTTGAAGAAGCTGAGATAGGCGTTGAGGAAGCCGGTGGGGTCTTCCAGCTGGGGGTAGTGGCTGATGTGCTCGTCCAGAATGGACACTGTAGACCTTTGGACCTGGCTCCTAGGGGGGGGGGGGGGGGCAAGGTACAGCTCATTGCAGTTACTCAGAGGCTCGATCGATGCAGTGCTCTGATGTGGAGCAGATGAGCTCCAGGACTTCACGTGGTGAAATGAAAATGAACTAACAAGGCCATCGAGCTCAAGGTCATGAAATTACAACAGTGACCAGCTCAAAAGCAGCAGCCAATGGGAAGAGGTCACTCACCGGTACAGGCTGATGAACTGAGGGTGAGGGTTCACTGGGTCTAGAGGTCCATAGATCATGTGAACTGAAAGACAGAAGGCAGGTCATATGATGAGGTTTGCCCAATAGGACGGCACCTAAGCTGATCTCCCCAAATTCAGGAACCGTTCGTTTCATTGCTACGGCAGTCTGAAAACCTCTTTGGATGCTGGTACTGTGAGAATGAGCTCAGGCCATGATGGTGCTTAGGATTACAAGTGGAAGATGTGGGGATAGAAGCTACTTTAAGAATTGATCCTCAGGAGCCCCCCTCCCCACAAATGTTTTCCAAAGACACAGGGTGCTGCACCCAGTGCTGACTACTAGGTGGAGCTCAGGACCAGAAGAGGAACAGCACAATGCTGATGCTGGTCACATGGTGGCCATACTCACGTGGAATCAGGGTGGAGGTGAGAGCTCCGACCCAGCGCTGCCGGTGCTTCAGCCTCTGGTTGATGTACTGGAGGATGCTGGAAAAGAAGATGAGCCCAGGCATCATGAGTGATGCTACTCAGTCACTATGGAAACCTTAATGAGCTGAAGACCAGAGTGATGGAAAAGATGTCAGTAGGGGGCGCCATACCTATCCATGACCAGGTTCCCATCATTGAAGCGGATCCCGGTCCACATGTCCCAGACCTCGGCCTCTGTGGGCTGAGTGTGGGGCCCAAACACCTCGCCGATGCTGCCAACCGCTCAAAGGAGAACGTTTGTAAACAAACCAAGTAGGACAGGCATATGCACAGAGCATTGTGCATGCAGGAGATACACCATCAACCTCCTGTAGCCCAAGTGAATAACACTGCATTCGCTGCTACCTGACACTGCAGTAGCTCTACTCACAGTGCCCCCTGCTGGTCTTCACATACAAAGGCAAGCTAAATGGATCACCTTTGGTACTAAGCCTTTATCTGAGATACGGTAAGAGCCTGACTGTTAAATAATAACTAATTTCACAACAAAGTTATCCATGCCCAGTTGCACTTTCACCCATCGCTTCCACTCAGACACCCCCCATCTTCACTCGTGTGAGGCCCTCACCTTCGGGAGAAGAACAGGAAGTTGGTGAGTCTCGTTAGTAGTGGGGACAGGAAGCCCGAATCCTTCAGCACCTACCGAGCACCAATGAGAGAAGAGGTGAAGCCACTTATCAGCGTCAAGCACTGAAAGGGACATTAAAACGGTGTGTAAATATCAACCGACCTTCTGGATCAATCTTGGATAATGAGTCTCTGGAAAAATTCCTATTAATGGGAGAAAAAAAAATAGATTAAATGTACACAGCTAGTGTAATTTAAAAAGCACCGTTACCATTCATTGCAAATCCCCATTTAAAGGGTGAAACCCTGGCAACTAAAATAAAGTCTTAATCACTATGCCACCTGCTGCTGGGCAGGAGAGCAGCAGCCATGGTGTCACTTTACCTCCATTGGACAGGCAGAGGCTGTTTATCGTCAGATGTCCGGTTTTGTTGTGGTCACTCCTGGCAGGATGTGCAGAGAGATGCAGAGATATTGAGAGTGCAGCGAGTTCCCCTACCAGCCCATCGTCTGACTAACCTATAGAGCAGCTCAAGAGCCACGGTGTCACCATAGTCATGTGACAGGAGGTTGAGTCTCTGATTGGCCAGCCCTAGGTGAGACACCAAGGCTTCCACGATGCTGGCCTGCTCGAAGATGGAGTACCGGTGGGACCGCTGCAAGACATCGCAGAACCCGGGCCGTTAGAGGGGGAAACCGGGTCAAAATTGAGATTACAGAGCACACCTGGACACCCCCACTCACCGGCTTGTCACTGAAGCCAAAGCCCAAAAAATCAAGTGTGATGATCCGATTGAATCGCTGGCTCAGGGGCTCCCAGATCTGTGTGGATCAGCAGAATGACGGCCCAGCAAGTCCTCTCACACTCTCTCACACACACACACACACACACACACAGTCTATATGTGCAGTGATTGGCCATCGCTGCTCATGTGACCTCCACCTTACCTTGTACCAGTCGTAGCTGGAGGTGGGGAAGCCGTGCAAAAGGAGAACCATATCGGGGCTTCCCACGGCACCGAACGATTCTGTGGGAGACAGGGAGAGAGCACTGCTGAAAGATCACTCCTGCGCCCCCAAATCATACTGTTCAGGACGATCACACAGCTACACCTAGCAGATCTGGCGCTCAGCACCACATCAGAAACACTCATGCATACACACGGCGGACTTACACTTCAGCCACTCGTGCTGCAGGGCATCTTACTTAAGGAAGTCAAGCTACATGCTACTCAGATGTTGGAACCTAACAGCATCCAGCCTGGAACAAGGTCATTGACCTCAGCAGATATTCAGCTGTATGACTGGGCGCTCTCACTAAATGCCTAAGTAGACCTCCGCTTTGATGAAACGCACTGTCCCAGCCAGACCCCACCCACCTCGGTAAAAGATGCTGTGTCCCTTGAAGGTGAAGACAGAGCCAGCAGCACGCCAGGTCTGCAGGTTGGGGGAGAGCTGCGGTGGGGGGATGTGCAGGTAGACGGCGATGAGGGGGATGCACAGCAGGCCGACTTGGACCCACCACTCCCTCATCCTGCCTGGGGGGATGGGGCACCACTCACCCTGAGCTGGGTGAACACAGGACACACCATAAACTGGGGGTACAACCAGGAAACCCCCACACTGACACACTATGAACCAGTGCATATAACCAGGAAACCCCCACACTGACACACTATGAACCAGTGCATATAACCAGGAAAACCCCACACTGACACACTATAAACCAGTGCATATAACCAGGAAAACCCCACACTGACACACTATAAACCAGTGCATATAACCAGGAAATCCCACACTCATGCATCATATATCTCACAGTCACACTACATAAATCATGGGGGATAACCGGGAAACCCCCCACTCACACACCATAAACCAGGGGGGATAACCAGAAAGCACCACAAACGCACCATAAACCGGATAACCAAGCTCTTCAGATTCTTTAATTAGTCCCTTACTGAGTAAGGTGACTCACTGTTTAAATTACTTTAATGAGCACTGAAATAGCTGAAACAGCCTGGGGCTCTCTGTGACCTGGGCTGGCCGTCTGCCTGTCCATACCGCGAAGTGTCACATCTTCAAGAGTCCCACAGACATTTGGAGGTGGAGAATGCTCAAATCTGGCACTTTTGGGTGAGATTATCATGTCTTCTTAATCAGAGTGGTGAACCGCCTTCCGCTGGTCAAGTTAAACCAGATGGTCACTAGTGCATCATGGGACAGTGTCAAACCACACTAATCACCAAATCACGGCTGAAACTACTACACCCTAACGGCAGTTTCGACCGTACAGACACTGCATATTTTGGACACAGAAAATAAGGAAATGGTTGGAAAGAAACAAACTCCACATGAGTTCATCTTCCCGTCTACCTCCAGTACACCTGTTACTTTGCTTACACTACAGGAAGATGTATTTATTATTCGTGCACGCTTTACCACAGCCTTTGCACTGTGCATTGGCATCGATCTGCAGGACGTACCTATGCAAGCGCTATATAATCGGCCCGGGTGAGAGACAGCTCCCAGCGTCTGGGCACCTGCAAATCACACAGCTGCCTGTGAGAAATAATGAAAGAAATCGGATTTAACGTTATACAAAACAGATCTGCAAATCAAAACATAAGCTCGGTGAATCTCCTCTAACCTGAATGAGGTTAGTTAATGGTGTGGAAATCGGTCCCGGTCCTCTTTGTAACTTTCAAAAGCCAAATGACGATAACCTCGGCTAAATTAGCCGATAACAGCACCAAGGACGGTAACACCGACAAGGGCTAAAGCGCGGAGCTGCCAGCCGCAGGGATCCGGACTGGGGTTGACCAGCTAGCTCGTTAGCCCGCGGACTCTCCAAATCAACACACCTGAGATGCGGACAGCGTCCGCAGCCCTGTCTCGCCTCAGCCTTTTCCCTGGGCTCGACGGGCTGCCCTCCCTCACAACGCTGCCCGACCGAAGTTAATCCATCCCGGCCGTTGGAGGATGTGGCTATGCTCGTGCTTGTTTCCAGGCTCACGTAGGACGGCTGGGGGCGGGACCACGGGGGGCCGCACGTTGTCATGGACGCGGCCGGGGAGACGCTGGAAACGCGCCCTCTAGCGACCGGCTGATAAAACAACAACCTGAATGACTCAGGTGAAAAGACGTCGCGCTGGATTCTCGTTGATCACATCGTAATCGATGTGGTCACTGGCATCGGTGCTGAAATGCCTAGAAAGACCAGATGACTCAATGCACCGCATGCCTTTTCAGTGTTAAAATAAGTGGTGACCGCCTGTATTTACTCAAACTTTGGGGCAGTGTGTTGCTCGTGTCCCCAATTTGAAAGTAGTGGTTCGAATAAGGGATATAAGTCCTTTGGATTCTGACTTCCATGGGGTATGCAGAATTTCGTAAACTAGCAGAAAGCAACACAGAAATTTATCCTGAGAAAAAAATGCAACTAATATAGCAAAAACCTTTGTCAAAAGAAGCAAAAATTATGCAAAATATAGTACTGTAAACACTGGAAATGCTTGGTATGCACTGATTAAAGATCATGTGTTAACACGGAGATGCTCTTCAGACGCACGCGAGGGAGAAAGGCATTGTTTCATGGACGGTTAATTTGCGTTTCTGCACAACACCGTTAGATAGGACGAAAGGACATGCTCAAATAATGTTTATAAAAATGTTATAAATACAATGCAAAAAAAATAATTAGAAAGCAGTATTTGGCTACATCAGATTTCTTCCACAGCCTTCTTTCTCGTTGTCTCCATTATTTTGTATTCTCATGCACAGAAACATGACAGTTAAGAGTTTGCATCCATCTGGGGCCAGAGATGGACACTGAGCAGTTAAGAATAAATTCAAAATCCTACCAGTAGGCTAAATATTCATTTTTTATTTTTAAAAACCATACACATTACTCGACAAGTTTCAAATGTAAATCGAATCACAATAACCATTTACATTGCTCAAGATAAACAGACATGAAGTACTTTATTTCCAAATGTTAAGATAAAAAAAACAATCCATAAAACAGATGGATAACATTCATTCCCATTACAGGAAGAAGCTACAGAATAAAGGTATGGATTCTATCTCTGATTTTTAATCTTTTTTGCAATCTCAAGCTGCTTTTTTTATTTGTAAAATAAAGAAAACTAAAATTTTAACTCAAAGTGACAGAGTTATCTGAAGGACATTGCTCCCCTTTCCTTCACTCGAACCCACGGTCAGCAGTCCAAGCGATGAGGCAGGAGGTAGCCACCGCACCTGAAACTGGCTCCCAGAACAGATGGAAAACCACATGGTCAACGACTCATTCCACAACATAAAATTGCTAACGTTTCGACGGCAGGCTCAAGCAGAAGTCTGCTGCAGTTTCACACCACCTGTTACCCTGAGAAAATGGATTCCTGGCAGAAGCACCCAGTCCTTAACCCAACTGCACTGACCTTGTGATGCAAGATGGTGTCCAGAGCCCCCAAAAACCTGACTTTGTAGGCTTTTTTTTTTTTAAAAGCATCTGCAGTTTCATTAGAAAACAAAATACAAAGGTACTTTTTACATGGATATCTGTATCAAAGTTTCCCCCAGGGTAGGTGTTACGAAATACAGTGTACCCTGTGCAGTGATGCCAGTGTAGATCAACCCCACCTCCACCTCTAAAAAATGTGCCAATCCTGTTTCCAGTATATCAGGGTCCAAAATAAAATAAAACCCAGCAGCATTTAGTTACTGATGGGAGTCTTATGGACTATGATGAGGACAAAATGCAAACAGTTTTTTTTTTTTTTGGTATTTGAAAATTTTAACAACCCAGAACTTAAGCATGAAGCTTTGCTAAATGGAAAATTTCGAAATTTAAATAAATAAAAACCAAAAATAGTCCACTCGCTTTTTGACCAAGACGATATTGTTATACTACCTAAAAACATCAAAATCTGAGGTTAAAATGCATTCTCTTTTGGATTTCAATTTATCATGATCAATTCAATGCTTGTCTATGCCTGAGTAAACAAAAAAAGTCAATATTGTACATTGGCAGGGACTGAAGCGTTGCTGAGTGGGAGAGACCATTTCGCCAGGAAATCAAAGCCTCTCCATTCTGCAGACAGAACACCTCAAAGGGATCTTCGACTCCCAGCAAGACGGTCAGCTGACACCAGCAGTCCGCCAGCATGTTAACCCTTTGTAGTGAGGACTGCAGCAGTAGACTTCCTGTATTTACATCACTGCATACAACAGTCCTGGGTTTAAAGGAATTATCCCTTAATCGCTCCACCTGGTGTATACATTATAAATAAGAACTTAGCTGGTTTCCCGTGATCACGAGAAACAAGACTCAAACAATTAAGCAAATAAGTAGTAAATATTTATAGAAATGTAAATGGAGGCCTTTGTCCAATTCTTTCTCTGCTTACCTTCACAAAAAGACCGCAAACATCTTTGCTCACTGCTAGACAAGCCTTAGTGTTACCTACTTGAATACCAGGACCTACATCTACAATTTAAATAAACTTTGCAGGCAAAAATAGTTCAGTTTCAATAGAAACACCCTTTTTTCCTGAAACAGCAGTATCTGAAAATCATTCTTTTTGCCCCCCTTCTTATACTTGCTCCATAATCCAAGAAGCATTTTCACCTACAAATGGAAGAAAGAATATCTACAAACCTTGTAAACAGACCTGCTTTTTCTGAGAACATAAATAATTCCAAAATATTAACAACTGATATAGCGGAAATGAAAGCATGTTCATGAATAAGGGTAAGAGGAAAAATATACACAAAACCCTTCCAGAAGCTTAAGATTCAGTTGAGTCTATTTAATGCATCTTATCTTTAGCTATGATGATACCCCCCCCTCCCCATTAAATAATCATGATAAAAAAACAGGTCACTTTCAATCCAAGTATATCAATATCCCCCCTTTTTGTCAGAACACAATGATCAAAGGGTGAGGGGTGAAAACAAGTGTCATACACTGAAATGGTGGGTCATAACTGGGTGATTTTAAAGAGGGGTTAAAAATACAATACATGAAAACAAAACCCTACATTCGGATGAATGTTTGCTCTTGTTTAAGTCCTGTACAATCTCGGCTCACAGAAAATATTCCAACGTAATCAAAACCTCCACAGCGCTCCCTGCTGGTATCTTCAGATTTGTTTCGCTACACCGATTTAAAAGTAAGAACAGCGAAGAAAGCCGGTAGCAGGCAAGGCAGCCCGTGGTGCTGACTCAGAGGGACGTCTCCAGGCTGTGCAGGCGGCTCCCCGGAGCTGCTGCAGGGACACATTTGATGTCCAGGAAGAGGTGGATGCCACTGGTGTCCACAGCGTTATTGTTCTTGTTAGGTGAGGAAGGAGAAGGGGGCACGGAGTTGTGTGGGGATGAATTGTGTGGGGCCGAGTCGTGCAGGGATGACTTGTGAGCAGCCGAGTCACGCAGGGTTGAATCATGAGGGGATGCATCATGCAGGGCTGAGTTCTGTGGGGCTGAGTCGTGCGGGGACAAATTGTGAGCAGCTGAATCATGCGGGGTTGAGTCATGAGGGGTTTGATCACGGGGGGCTGAGTCATGCGGGGATGAGTTGTGCAGGGTCGAATCGTGTGGCGGTGATGAGTTGTGCGGAGGCGAGTTGCGTGGCAATGAGGAGTTGCGCTTTGTGGGGGCGTCATCCTCGGCGTCAGTGTCATCGATCAGGGGAATGTGAGGTTCCGAGTCCTCAATCCGGAACTCCGGGTGGGTCATGAAGTTGTGGATGGAGCTCCGGGATTCCGGCTTCTCCAGCCCCTCATACGGTGACAGGGAGCTGCGGAAGGCGTTCACCACCCGGATCTACAGGAAGCACCGCGGCAACAGCACACAGTCAGTGCACGGTATCAGCACTTCAACAACAGTGCAGTTTGCATTTTAAATAGAGGTTAAACCGATGGACATACAGGCTTGTTTTGGTTAGTCAATTCCATTTAGTTTAGATACCAAAACCACGTCAGGGCTGGTGAATTTTCAGAAACGTGCAGTATAGAGAGCAAAAAAGTGAACAAATGATGGAATACACTGAAATGGTGGCAGTTTTGATCATAATCTGCCTACGAGCGGGAAAATTCTCAGTCCAGGGAAAAGACCGAGCCAGCCGCTCTGGGAGCAAAGGGACACACGACAAACCTCTACCGGCTCGGAAACACTCACAGCTGCGCTTCCCAAAAACCCTTCAGCCTCTGTCCAGTTATTCAAAATGCAAAGAAACCATTCGGGGAAAAACAGAACTCAAATACAGGAGACAAAACAAGGTTATCTATCATCATCATGCCAGGGGAATGGGGAGGTGGGGAACAAACTGCTGATTTGGGTGGGTGGGTGGAGGGGGGGATAAAGTAAATGAAAATATAAATTAGGAAACCAAACCAAAGTAGTGAGAAGCCAAGCAGATCGGCACTTTCCAGCACAGCGAACCCACATGACTGGACTACACCCATGCAGAGCTTATCTACCTTCTGGTCCACAGCAGTAAACCTTTGAGTATAAGCCCATGTCACATTTCATAGAATCTGAGGAGGGACACACTGCAATCAGAATTCAGTTTTATGTCCCCCATCCCATCATAACAAAACCAGAATTCTGCCTGTATGTATAGCATGGCAAAATGAACAGGCTCCCCCCTGTCCAAAGTCAGACAGGAAAGGTCGGCACTTCGGGGGAAATTAGACGATTGGGGCACATGTAATTTGCAGGTGAAGCTAACAGTCGTGAGAGAGGCCCAGACTGCGAGCGGCGTCTCCTGGAAAGGAAGCAGCTGTGTCATCAGGGAGCACACACCAGTAACATCCGCCAGTATCCGAGGGGGGCCAGCACTGGCCCCCGCCACAGCAGCTCCTGAAGAAAAGAACAGTTAATGAGATTTACTCCGGGCCCAAAAACCTTCTATTCTTTAGAAGAATCTTCTCCCAAAGTTGAAAACCGGTATTTGGGAGGTTAACGCAGAAGTTCTAGCAAGTGACCAATCTAAATGCATAATGGGCCAGCTGGGAGAGGGCCGATAGCAGTGTAGAACACCTGTGCCTGCAGTCACAGCTGCCACTCACAGGCGGGGAGAGGAAGGAGAGTGGTGGCAGGGGGCCGGGGGTTCGTGCACCATGCACCCACAAGTCACTCCTGCAGTGGCACATGGGCAATATTTCACATCCACTGGCACCCGGAGGGGCAACGTACTGGGGCCCAGTTGAGAACAGCTGCTGAGGAAAATGCAATGTCCTCCCTTGGGAGATCGCAGAAGTACAGTGCCAGTGAAAAACAATGCACCATACAGCCAGAAAACGTCAACGAATCCCATAGGAATCTCAGAGGAACTGTGAGCATGGGCGTATACTCAAAACATTTACACCATCACAACTGCAAGAAGCCCGCAGCGGTGAGGGACCAGGGCCACACAGCCACAGGTCGGCCAGCAAAACACCTCCCGCCTTCTCGAACCACGGAACAAGCGGGAGCACAGAGACACACAATGGGGGGGGGGGGATGACGGGAGGGTGACAAAAACCCATGTACAGTGCAAGTCCTGGGAACCTTGTCGAGATACACACACGTGTATAGATAAGACTACAGACAGACGTTCAGGAGCAATGTGGACAATGTGTTTCGAGTGTTTGTTTGGGAGAGAATGAGAAACGTTAGGCGAGTGGAAGGAGGTGTTAATGTCATGCACTGAGAAACACGCACTCACACCCAGTGCTGGCAGCAGCGGCAGGAGAACACGCTACATGTGTAGGGCTAGAAACATGTGTTACATCGTGTTGTTGGCTGGCGCTGGAGGGCTGGCGCCTTAGAGCCCCCTGAAAGGAAGTTCCACTCTGGAAAGCACTGACTACATCCATCTGCAAGGAACCAGAGAGTGTGACAGCAGGCTCAGAGGGAGGAGGTGGAGGAGGGAGAGAGTCAAGAGAGGCAGAGACAGAGACAGACAGAAAGAGAGAAGCGAGGAAAGAGGCAGTGACCGGTACAGGGACAGACAGAGAGGGACAGAGAGATGCATAAAAACAGAAAGATAGACAGATAATGACAGACAGAGAGGGGCAGAGACAGATGGACAGAGACAGATGGACAGAGACAGATGGACAGAGACAGATGGACAGAGACAGATGGACAGAGACAGGGACGAGCGGCAGAGACAGGGACGAGCGGCAGAGACAGGGACGAGCGGCAGAGACAGGGACGAGCGGCAGAGACAGGGACGAGCGGCAGAGACAGAGAGACAGAAAGAAGCAAAAGGCTGAGCAGGTAAGAAACCAGAGACATGTCAGGCTCAGGGAGGAGACAGAATGCAATGACATGACCCTCAGACAGTGCCGGTAAAAGCCACGTGGCACCCTAAGCATGCTTCACCGCTAGCACTGCCCACCACCCAATTCAACGGTCTTGGAAGGTACGACGCATGCAGTTCTCTGCGTGCTCCTCTGGGGTGCCAGCGACGAAGCTTGCCGGGGGAAAGGGGGATGCTGCTCCCTCAGGAGGAGGCACCCTAGGCATCTGCCTACGTCGCCTAACGGGCTGACCGGCCCTGCCCCTGGAGGGCAGCTCAGAGTGGATAGAAGGCAAAGAGCAGAGAGAATAATGCACTGATTTTGCATGGCCATCGGCCCCCTTGTAAGCTGAGCCCTGCCAGCTCCACCTCCTGAGTGCCATTACACCACTCACTAAAACACTACTGCTTAAAAAACTCCAAGACTTGGAGATGCCTGCGCCAGTACCAAGAACCAATGTGGACCTCAGGCACAAAGGGCCAACAGTACAGGAGTCCCCTCATGTCATGCTGCAACAAGAGCGGCCAAAGAAACAGCGTAGTCTGTGGTAGCTGAGGTGTACCTGAGTCTGGATCCGGTTGAGGCCCCTGAACCAGAGGATCTGGCCATGCCGCAGCTCCCGCTCCGCATGGTCAATCTCGTCCAGGTCGTCCATGTCCTCCAGCTCCTCATCCGGGATCTCCTCCTTCTGCGTGCCGTGGCCCGCCGTCTTCAGGAACTTGAGGCGGCTCGTGGGGATGGTGGAGATGACCTGTTGGAGAGGGTGGGAAGGGGGATTAGTTGTTTGAAAGTGAATGGCATGTTAGAACCGTAAGCAAAGCAAGTTATTTTACTTCCTGGAAACTATGTAATGAAGGTGAGACGCTCGGCCTGTGACATCAGTTCTAAGGAGATAAATGGCCAGAAAGAGAAATGTCAGACCCACATCAGGAGCCACACAGAGGTATCTACGGGGCTTGACAACAGAGCACAGACCAAATATACAATAGCTTTTAATTTGTGTAAAGGACCCTCTGTTACAACTCACCCATCATATAAATCAGTTATTCAGGCTTCGTTTAATGCCTTAAATACCTTCACAGATGTTGAAAGTCACTCTTTGTAAATTTCTAAAATTAAAAGGCTGACAAAATTCAAATGAGAAGTTCAGTTGTGATGATACAACCACTAGAGGGCAGACCTCTACCACCAAATTTTTTTATTTTTATTTTTTTAAAAAAAAAGGGAGACTCACCTGGCCCCAGAGCAGACAGCCCATCCCTAGGAAGACACACCAGAGCCACTGGTCGATGGACAGTCCCACGCAGCTGAAGGGCTTCCCCCCAAACTGGATGATGACGATCTGGATATATATATAAAGCTCTGTCAAAACTGTACATGTGATTTCACCATAAATGTATTTCCTATATTAGTACTTCTGTATTTCTCTTATGTATACATTTTAGTTATTGTAACGTTCAGTTAATTGTAAGATTTTTAACTTTTGACTTAAAACTTAATTCCATTTTTGATTTGATTTGCATAGTCTAAGAGGTCATTCAGGGGACATTTCATTACGTTATACTTGTATAACCATGGATGTGGCAAATAAAGTATTTTGTATCTTGGAGGAGAGGTACCAAGAGCGCTGGTCGGAGACTAGCTACCCCGTAACGAAGACTGCCAGCGAAAAGGCGGCGAGGCCTGCTACCTGGATGATGAACGTTCCCAGCACGATTGAGCAGAAGATGAGGTTGTTAAAGATGCCATCAAAGACATTCCTCTCGCCGTGGATCTTGCGGGCATTTATCTCATTGAACAGCTGCATCATGACGAAGGTGTTGAAGACTATGGTGTAGTGTTCAGACGGGGGCGCGTGCAGGGGGGCGTTACGGCCGCTGTCAATGTCAAAAATCTGCTCACCTGTTGAGGATGGGACTGCAGTCAAATCCAAAGTCTACATGCTGGACACAGATTTAGATGATCAGGCACAAATAATGCTTTCTCTGAGATGTGTACAGTCTGAATATACCAGGTCATGGGTTAGACAATGTTGAATGGAACACAGAACTGAAGGAAGCAATTAAAATCCGTCTCCTATAAGTCAACGCAACAATCATGACAGATCAGTTCACCAAGAAAAAAAGACCATCCCCAAGTCATTTGTGACTGTCAATTAGTTCATAGAGCACTGTCCTTCTGCACTTGGCTGCATTGAGCACAGCAGGCTCAGACTTACCAGCAAACAGTAATGTGAAGATGATGGTAAGCTGGTAGACGGCGTGGCCCAGTATGTTCTTCATCATGGTGCGGGAGATGAGCGGCTTGTTGCGTCCGTAAGGCTTCCTGAGCAGCAGGGATTCGGTGGGAGGCTCAGTGGCCAGGGCCAATGAGGCAAAGGTATCCATGATTAGGTTCACCCACAGCATCTGGACTGCCTTCAGGGGAGAGTCCTGCAAATACAGACAGACAACCATTCAGTGAAAGGAGAACATCTCCAATGAGGCAATTCACACCAAAGGCACTGTAGCTGAAGGTCTAGCGCTCACATGTGGGTGTATAAAGATTTAATTCCTGTACTGACTCGGACGACATTTCTCGTCAGGCATAAGCAAAACACACATTTGTCTTCATATGAGAAGGCAGTTTTCAATTATTCCAAATCAGTCAATGAACATCCATGGTACCACAGAAAACAACTATTCCCAACACTTAAAGGGAGCAAGGCAGCAGCCAGAATCTTGAGAGTAACTCAATATCGACATTAATTAATCCAAACTCAAACGCTCGGACCCAAAGGCTAGGGCGTACCTGTGTGATGCATGCCCCGGTGAAGGCAACAATGACGGCCACCACGTTGACGGTCAGCTGGAACTGCAGGAACTTAGAGATGCTGTCGTACACATTCCTCCCCCACATGACAGCTTTCACAATGCTGCTGAAGTTGTCATCCGTCAGGATGATGTCAGAGGCTTCTTTGGCTACATCAGTACCAGCGATGCCCTACAAATGACAGCACTTTGTAGATCTCAGAAGAACAGGACAGAGCAGGAAATGTGCAGGTGCCGTTTCAAAGAGCATATTGCTTTGATGACTAATGTAGTAATGTGCGTTGTAAAGCTCAGAAGACAAATCAGGCTGTTTTCCTCATAGCTGACCTTCGAGTCAGGCAACATGCCATGAATAGCATACCAATCAAATATCAGTGGGCTCTGCTATGTAGCTCAGCACATCAGGGATCTGTGCCTATCGTCATAAGTTCATGGATTTAAATCCCACGGAAAGAGTAATCAAGCTCCACGAACACAGGCTGACTCTGCTGTCTGACCCCAAGCGCCTCCTAAATAAATGTAAATCTATTATCAAAATGAGTTTGGTGTGTGTTCAACATATCCACAGGCTTCTTTATGTTTGCAGAGAGGGGTCCCAACTCCAATTTTCCCTGTCTCCATCTGCAGTCGAGCAAGAGCATGACAGCAGGAACGCACCATTGCAAAGCCAACGTCAGCTTTCTTCAAGGCGGGGCCGTCGTTAGTGCCGTCCCCCGTTACGGCGACGACCTGTCTTTGCTCAGCTACAGTGCTATCGATTATACCTGCAAAAGGAAGGACAATCAGGCAAGGCCACTGAAGGCCACCTTTCTAAGGCCAGCAATTATTGACTGACTATTGATTACCGTCGTAAAAGGCCGCAGTACAACCAAAATTCTAGATCTTTCTGCGTCTTTATAAAACATCTGATGAAGAGATCACCACAAAAGCTTGAGGCTGACTATTCAGCAGCTCAGAGGGATTTCTTGACATGAAGTACCAGACTCATTTGGCCAGTCAAGGTATAACTTGGTTCCAACAATCAGGCGTAAGAGGAGTGATACCCAAATCTTATTTTAATGTGCCCTGCAGTGCACCTGAGCACAGAAAGGGGCTTTCAGCAAAGCACGAGACCCAAAAGTACCTTTGACAAGTGTGTGTTTGTCGGTAGGGGAGGATCTCGCCAGCACCCGGAGTTTAGGCCATAGCTTATCGATACGCTCTTGCTCAATCTGCAAAAGAGAAGCAGATTGAGTGCCTGAGATGCCAATTGCATGGGTCATTCCACTGGGCATTAGGACATGGTCGCCTACCTCTCCCTTCTCGTTGCGTATCCGCCTGTTGAAGTCCTTGCCCTCCAGGCACAGGAAGTCGTCTCCAGGCTGGAGGATGCCACACTTGACGGCGATGGCTCTGGCGGTGTTGATGTTGTCCCCGGTGACCATGCGCACTGTGATTCCAGCACGCTGGCACTTCTTAATGGCGTCAGGGACCTGCGAGGAAGGACGGCCATCTATTTCGATTCGTCATTAACAAAAGCCCCTGCTGGTTGGGGTTGGAAAAAAATTCCCCAATAATTTACTGCACTCTTCATATTGGTCCAGCCAATATCTCACCTCACTCCATGGTCGGTAAGGAGTTCACAGGGCACTTTATTAAATTAGGCTGCTCAAACCCCTCACCTCCAGCCGAACGGGGTCCTCGATGCCCACCACGCAGATGCAGGTGAGGCTGGTGAGGATGTCCGTTTCATTTTCCCATTCAGGCTCCCCCTCAGATGCAGGGAAGTCCCTGTAGGCCAGGCAGATGGTCCTCAGGCCCTCAGAAGCCATGGGTTCAATCACTTTCTTCACCATGTCGTCCCGGTCCCTGGGCCGGAACACCTTTGGCTCACCACTCGCAGTCATGATTTTACAGCACCTGGGACAGAGAACAGCCAGCATGCATCAGGCTACTTGCAAATAAACACATATCTTTCTCTCTCTCTCTCTCACACACACAGTTGCAAAACATTGAAATCCACTTCAGGTGAGAAAGACTAATAAAATAATGAAGCATACTTCTTCAGGAGAATTTCAGAAGCTCCTTTGCTGAACATCCTGAAGCTGCCATCAGCATTCTTCAGCACGGTGCTCATGGATTTCCTGACGGAATTGAAAGTGTAGACCTTGTAGAGCTTCTCCTCTGGGATCTCGTTGCGGATTGCTTGGTAGTCCTTTTTTAAATCCAGGACGAAGCCCAGCAAGGCACATTCTGTCTTGTTGCCCACTTGACGAGGCAAACCACCTTCCTTTTCAGGAGACTGGACAGAGAGACAAGGACAAAGCAAACATTTATGGACAACGAGCACATCATAGGGAAGTGTGGTTGTGTACCCACCACCAGAGCAGCCTATGGTAAGGTTAAGCTTATAATGTCTATACCTCACCATACTGCACTGCTTGAAGGGGTGGAAATTAAAATAAATAAATAAAATCAGTTTGGTTTCAGTCAGGTGGGTGAGATGGCTGGGCTCCCCTCAAACCACATCGCTCTGCTTTGACACCTGCTATTAGCTAGGTGGCACTGGGCTAATAGGTATCTCATCCAAGTGTGATATTTGGTCTTCGGACATTCTGACACTTGGCCTGGTTGCCTTGTACCGTGTCCGAGCACGACTGTCCCCCCTCTCCCCACTCCCCTGCTGGTCTGCGCTCGCATTGCCTTTAACGTTCCGAGACCGAGGACGCTTTTGTCGTCACCATGCGACTTCTTGGGTCATAGAAAAAAGCACGACCGCACAGCACGATGAAGCTCATGGTTAATGTCCTTATTTTGTGGTTTATTTAGAGTCATTTTGGGCGTGATAACACACAGCCCTCAGTTTCATTGGGTATGCAACGCTGCGACTTTCATTTTATCATGCTGCACGTACAAGAACATATTTTACCATGTGTGTTACATCCAGTTGTCCTTGGATACTCTCATCAGGCAAAATATCCTGCAGACATTTCCTTCGCTGGAATGGATCGTTAAATATTTATCGTTACCCAATATACCGCATCAATTCCTTACGGAACTAGTTCTTGTATAGTGTACACGTGCACATGTGTGTGCCAGCTGCATCATTGATGTCATGTTTGAGTTCCATGTTCAGGCACTGCTAGCGATCACACTCGACAAATGACGTGTCCGGATCCCATTAAGCCATGGCCAGGGACTGTATGGAGCGATCACACTAGTCAAACAAACTGGATTTTGGGGGTGAAACATGCTTGGGCATGGTACGGATTGCCTAGTGTGAGTAAACCCTTTGTAAATAAGTGTTCAACCTTTGAGATGGTGCAGTATGGAAACTACCTGCATTGGGTTGCACTGGACAACATAGCGCAGAGACATTGAAATTAACCGGGCACTGCAGATTAGGTACAATCCATGGGGTATACATGAGAGAGAGTTCTCACCATGATTTTGGTGGTGTATGCACAATTGACACTGATGCCCAGGATGAGCAGGTCCATGATGCTTGCAGGGATGAGCTCAGGTTCGGGAACCCTCCTGTAATGTTTATCAGCCAGGTAGGCCTGAACAACGGTCATCCTGTTCATGGTTAGGGTGCCTGTCTTATCGGAGCAGATGGCAGTCGCGTTGCCCATGGTTTCACAGGCATCCAGGTGTCTCACTAAATTGTTATCCTTCATCATTTTCTGAAAGGAGGGAGGATGACAAACAGAAACTGAACAAACCAGCCTGAGATCCTGAAAGAGGTACAAACTGATCTACAGCAGCCAGTATCGACACACACATTAAAATTACTAAAAAGACGGCACAGATGTACTGAGGCTTTAATGCGGTCTTCATTGGTAAAAGAATAAATCTTAAGAGTCTAAAGGAATCATTCATTTATCTGACTCATACAGTTTAGATACACAAATCATCACAATGCAGTAAGTGAAATGTCAAACTAAACCCAGGTAGAGAGAACACATTTCACTGCTCAATCAGAAAAACAGTCTCTCATATGGACTGGTCAACATCAAAGGATCAATCACTGAGTGCAAAGAGACTAGAACACACCAAAAGCTTCAGTATTAAAGGTTGCTAGAACCACTCCCCCGTCCCCGATGGCTCTGTTGTGGTGTTCTATGGTAAAACCTGACCAGGAAACAAGGCTGTCACTTACTTTGACAGAGTAGGCCAGAGAAATGGTGACAGCGAGAGGAAGACCCTCCGGAACAGCCACAACCAGCACTGTGACACCAATGATGAAGAATTTGACGAAATACTGGATATAGATGGGAGTGCAGTCCTTGACCCAAGGCAGGCCTTGGAACCAGAAGGTATTGACGACAAAGAGGACCACCAGAATGATGACGGTGATGGCTGACATCACGAGACCTGAAGAAAACCAGGAAATATGTCCGGGCACACATGTATACGCTTACGACGTCCATAGCACGGCCATTCATTTACACAACCTGACGTTAGCAAGGAATCCCAAACAAGCATCAGTGAAATCATACCTGCTTTCCCAATCTGCACTGCTAGTTTTGTCAGCTTCCCCTGAAGGACAGATTTCTCCTTCTTGGGCATGTTGGCTTTCCGCTTCTCCTCCAACTCGGCCGCATCCTCGCTGTTGAGTGGCTGCATCTCCATGGCTGCTCCATCCTGAGGTTTAGCTGGGGACACGTGAACACTAAAGTCAGGCCTGGGGGGTACCTGCAAGCTCTATGGTCTGTTTCCATCACGCTCAGAGGGCCGTGTGCCTTCTAGGGAACCAACCACTAACAAACACACACAAACTAGACCACAGCATGAACACACACCTTCCAAGGAGAGGGAGAGTATAACCTCATAGGAGAAATGAATGTACCCCACTGACTGGTCAGCCTATGGCCTGCCTGGACAGAGTACTACCTCCAGATCGAAATGGTGTCCTTACAAGTTTCTTGGGATCAATACAATGTGAGAGCTTCTATTTTTGCAGCTGCGTCGATACCCCAGCGATGAGCGCATGAACCTTATCCTTCTAGTGAGAGCTCCCTCACTGCCCAGAACCTTTAGAGCAAAGCTCAGGGGAGGAACACACATCCATAAAAAGGAAAGACGAGCAATAGGGACAGAGTAAGCATGGGTGCCTGGTTCATTACCTTCCAAATCGTGCGTTTATTATCCACACAAACAGAAAGGAGGCTGGCCAAACTGGGTCTGAGAGCAAACACAGTGATGGATACTCCAGTCATGTCACCGTGGCGACACAGAGCCTCTGACAGGGTGCCAGAAGGCGGATCTCTGGCCCAGCACGCTAAGCTAACGATTCATGTTCGCTCCCCCGTGGTGAAACAAAGGATGTACACACAAGGTAGAGTCCTTGCATGCATCCGTGAAGGAGATAGAGAAACACCGCTCCATGTCTAACAGGCCTCCCACGGGCCGATCAGCCACACACGGGCGGCCGGCTGTCATCAGAGGGTCTGCCTGGGGGATGGGAGGGCTGATACGGCACATTCTGCACTCGCATGGCCTCTAATCCCAGTCGGAGGGATTAGCGGCTCCTCCACCAGGAGTGAGCGCAGGGGGCAGGACACTGCCGGCCCTGAGGGACCAACTCAGCATGCCCCACTGGGGCGGGAGGGAGGCAAGACAGAGGGACACAGGGGGTAGGCCAGGGCACATGTTTTATACAGGGCTAAGATCTGGGACCATAATGTATCACATCAAACGAACAAGAGAGGGAGGGGAAACACAACGGAAAGGAAAATGAAGCAGGCGCTCTCTCCCCACAGACAGTGGGAGCTTTAATCTCCACGTCACTAATCACGCTAACAGGATTGTGCGGCACCTGGCCCTGCGGGCAGGCACAGACGGTGGGGGCACGCAGGCATGCAGAGAGGCAGCCCGGAGCTATAGTGAGGCCATAGGGGCTTCAAGCTTCACAGGGCCAGTAAGCTTAAACACAACCCAGATTCAAACTGGCACAGTTTGAGGCCAAACTGTAAAACAGTGACAAGTCAAATAGCATCACTCACCTTTTTTGCGGTTCTCAATGGAGCCATCCTGCTTTTTGCCTGTGAGGTTGGAAGTAGATTTACCAATTAGTGACTCATTTGTAAGACACACTTTAGTCTATGTTGCTGAACTTATTTCTAGTTATGCAAATGCTGACCATGGCACTCTGCAGCAGAACACAGCTCTTTCCAAAGGAGTCAGTGGGGCTGTGACTCCCCCCAAGCCCCTGTACCTCATCTCATTTCACTCGACATTTAATTGAAATTCTGCAGAGATACCAACACAGGAATCGGAAGATGTCAGCCTTGTTAATTCCTGTTTGCATCCTGATTTAATGGCACAGGTTCATTAACTGGGATAGAGCAGATGAGCACTGAAGATGAAAAAATTATCAATAAACTCAGCCCCCTGTCTGGATCTTTTTTCGAATCCCATGCTTCCTTCCGGCATTCTCTACTGTAAAGGAATTCCAGTGTAGTGAGCAGTCCTGAATAGGACAGGACAGGTCTTTCAGTCTGTTTCTTAAAGCGTGGGGCGGGGGAGCACTCAGCACAACCTCAAACATGAACACCCTTCCTGCACACCACCCTCTGGTTAATGTGAAGAGGCTTGTTCCGTTTCCATGACGACAGCCACCCCACAGCACACAATTGTATCTGCTTTTTTCGACTTCTCAGCAGCTGGCCCCAAAATCAGCTGTGCCCACGGCCATCAGTCTGACGGCCCTATGGCGTCCCCAGAACACAGATTAGATCCGGCACTTTCTACCTACTTTTCTTCTTCTCCTTTTTTTCTTCTTTCTCTTCCTCCTCATCTTCGTCCTCTCCAGCCCCGAGCAATGTGAAAATGATTCCAGATTGAGAGTTGACCCCCACCGCGGTGACCACCATCTTGCCAGAACCCTCCATGACATGGGTTCCTGTGGGGGAAGTGAGAAACTGAGGTGACAGGAAGAATGAATAAATCCAACTGTTCTGGTGATGATTTGGAGTGCTGGAGTCCAGCTGCACAGGTTTGCGTACAAGGCCAGATTTCTACAATCTGTCATCCAGGCACACTGGCTACTCCAGAAGCCATCAGAGTATGAAGGTTTCCCAGCGTTATCCAGGTCACAGTACACAGATGAATGCTTTTAAGAGAGGGAGAAGCACAGGCAACAGGTACCAGACAACAGCATGGGGTCCTTGTCCTGCGTCTTCTTCACATGGTCCGATTCCCCCGTCAGAGAGCTCTCGTCAATTTTGAGATCACTTCCCTGGATCAGCACACCATCTGCAGGCAGGAGGTCACCTGGAGCAGACAGGTGTTCATGTCTCAGTAGCATTAGACACCATTGGAGTGGCCGGCTGGTTTCCATAAAACACAGTAAGCAGGTCTTGCCTACATTAGTTTCCATAACAATTTCACCAGGCTTTCGTAAATGTAATTAACTTGGGGGGTGGGAGCAATACCATATTTGATTTGTGCAATGTCCCCTACGACGATCTCAGCCACTGGGATCTGGATGACTTGTCCCCCCCTGACAACAGTGAACTTCTGCTCTTGTTCGATGCGGCTCTGGAGGCCCCGGAACTGCTTCTCCTTGCTCCAGTCGTTGAAGGCAGTCACCAGCACCACACAGATGACGGACAGAAGGATGGCTGCTCCCTCAATCCATCCCGCCTCAGCCTCACCCTCATCCTCCACACCACCTGCCGCCGTGCCGCAGTCTGTGGTGCACAAACACGGGCCGTGAGCAGTCAGCTGCATGCCTGGAGGAATCTTGCACACACCCACACGCCAAGAGCAACACACATAGACTAGCAGGGCTCTGCCGCAGATCACAGGTGTCAAATTGACCGTCCGGCGATGTTTTACTTAAATCATGGGCGATACAAACTGCCTGGGATGCTACTCAGAGCAACACACCCACACACAGACATACACAGAGAACAGGAATTCAGCATCACAATGCAATGTCCCGCTGATGGCAGGAATAGGTTCACACCCAGGTCATGGGCAGACAATCACAGAGTTAAACAGACAAAAGGTGCTTACGGTCTCTTTCCTCATCTGGAGGTCTATAAAAAGAAAGGCCTAAAGAAACTATGGCTGCCACTTCAAGAATAATGAGCGTTACGTCCTGCAATGCCTCCCACACTAACTGAAGGAAGGTTTTTGGCTTTTTTGGAGGTATTAAGTTCATTCCAAATATTTCTTTTCTCTTGTCGATGTCTGCAGGGTGTCCACTCAAACCTGGGGGGAGAAAAAAAAAAAACATTTGTTTAAAAAATTTCCGCAAGTATATTTACATAATACAAAAATGCAAATAATTCCATATTTCAGCACAACACTAGGAAGCAAGTTCCTCTAAGACAGATCTTATTGACAGGAATCACATACAAAGAAAAACAAACAGCATCAAACAACACATGGATAATTAGGGGGAATCTGAGTTCAAGACAAATATCTGACAGTTATGCATGGCGTTTAATACATTATGAGGCTCCTGACACACATACATGGCAGAATGTGGCATTTGCAAGACACGTCTCAGAGGGTTTCAGGTAAGGCCACTCAAGAATAAAACGCTTTAATCAATTTTGATGACAGCCCTCTTCAGGATACTTTATATGGTGCAACACCTGCCTCTCAGCAAAGTACTCCACATTACACACGAAAAGTCATAGTGACCCTGTACTGTATCAGCATGGATGGGTGGCTATTAAGAGTCACATGATTAACAGGTCATGGAGCACAGCATCCAGAACTATATGGGTGTACAGGCCCACAGCCTGAAGGACAGTGACACAGCCGAGAAAATGAGACCTTGACACACATGATATTCCATTAGCAGCTGGTGTAACCTAAGCTCCATAACGGCACCGTTACCACATCTGACAAGCTATGGAAACTGCTCCAGAACGAATGTTATTTCACGTACTTTCATTCTGTGAAACGTGTCACTCACAGACCACATCAATATCCCTTCTGTTAACTGAATATCATTGCGAATAAACCCAGCAGTGTTAATGAGGACACACCAAAGGCAAAGTGCACGAATGTACTTCACAGGAATACAAGTACCTGACCTGACAATCAGACATTGTCTGCATGACAACATGAATAATCAAGACAAGAGCTTAAGAGGGAGAGGGAAGTCTGGGTTTCCCTGCTGAGACTGCTGCCCCCGCGACCCCACCTCGGATAAGCAGAAGTAAATGGATGGATGGATGGATGGATGATGGAAAAAAAAATGTATGCCAAAAAAAAAAATCTTTAATTAGGCTACTAGAAACATAACATACTGTTCCCTTCGTTTGTACATCTTGCTTTAAGAGTTTGAGGCATTTTACAGTTCAATTTGAATATCTTCCAAGCAAGGATACACAAGTAGCGAATGCTTAAAATACCCCACAATTTTTCTCCCACTGGCAACAGCGTCACTTACGCTTTGCTGTGATAGCAGCCACCCCTGTATCAAGCTGTAGCGAGTACACAAAACAGCCCAAGCTAGCGACTTTTCATATTACTCGTGTTGTCTCGCTCAATTGCGTGCGGTTTTACTGGGATTTTCAGCTAAGCGATACTTCTACCTCTCAAAACTTTGTTTTCACAAAGGTTGCAAATTGCTGTGCTAATAACCGCCGTCAAAAGTATACTACTCCCTGATCGTCAGCTTTTTCATCTCATGTTCTTATCGTACATCTTCTTATCTTATGCTCCTCCTACTGTGAAGGGTAATGCGCATGACGTCACAGGAGGAGGAAGTCACTGGGCTGATACCCACTAAATAGTTAAAAAAATTAATAAATAAAAATGAATGGCAACGTTAGCATTCAGCTTGAATGCCTCAAAAAAATAAAAAAAAAAAATAAAAAAACATGTAAAATGGGAAAGAACTGTTGTGCGATTGATTGTACAAACAGATTTAACACAAAACAGGAGCTCTCTTTTTCGAGACTACCAGGTCCATCAGGTATGTCTGGGTTCAGCACAGATAACGCATTTCATTGGTTCTGTCAAGAAAATGTACCCACATGCTCCTCAAATAAAAAGATTTTGGTATACAAGCCTAACAGCAGTACTCAAAAGACAAGGCTGGAAACCCTTTAAGTGGTTTTCACGATTTGTTCCCAGTGACACTGCATTTGTAAATAATTGTTCCATTTAGAACCCCATATACGGAAAACTCTTTATATAGTATTTCATAACACATTCTTATTAGATTGATACAGAATCAAATAATTGTTAGCTTGTGAATCTGCATCAAAAGTGAGTGCACTTTTTTTTTTAAATTTCCTAGTTATTATGCACTTAGGTTAACTATCGCTCTGTGCTATTAGCTGTGCTGAGGAGCATGTTTATGAATTCAGTTGAACTAGAGGCTTGAATGCTGAGTGGTGAGTGTCGCAAACAGGAAAGGGCAGGGTGAGTCATGACCATTTCCGGCACATACATAAAAGGGGAGTGCCCCCAAAGGAGCCCAACTGAGCAGAGCACACTACTTTTACTTGTTCGTTAGTAAGGCTTCCTCTATCCATGTAGCGTGGCACCAACTCTCCTTTTCAGAAGTATCTGCGTGACTCATAAGTTTCATTTTCAGAGGCACATGTCACACTACACACTGCCGAGCTCTCAAACATGGTCCAGAGGCTGAACCAGCCAGCTCTGAGCAGAGAACGCATCAAAGTAGGGGAGGCAAGATAGCCCTGGCCAACAGGCAATGATGTTCTGAGGAACATGCGAGACAGACAGACCGGGGATTCTGAGAAGCCTGTGGGGAGTACAGAATGAAAGGAAGCCACGAATCACAGCTCACCCCCACCCTGGTGAATGCCAAGGCAACTGGCCACTACCAGGACAAGAAAGCACGCGATGGAACTTCCCGTTAGAGAGCTCAACAGCTATGCTAGGCTTTCAGGGAACAGCAGTCAATGACAGATGTGTGGTTGTCCGGGTCATGCAGAACCCCAATACTAACTGATCATAAACAAGAGAAAAGAAGTTTTCCCCCGAGGATTAAATTTAATAATATCTAGTAGGTATACAATCAAATTGCAATGGCTTCTCTGCTATACGTTCTGATGCAATAAATCAGCCTTTGTGCAAAGGCCTGGCCTTTCACCTGTGTTGCAAGCAGACTCCTACTCCATGCTTCCAGAGACTGCCATCGATTGGACGATTATTGAAAGCAGATGGAAGAGATAAATATTAGCATTTGTGGAACAGACTGGGACGGATGAAGAGGATGGCAAGCTGAAATAAAGAACAAGGGAGGGGAAGGGCTTTAAAGGCGGGAGGCAGGAGGGCAGGGGCCCAAACAGAGAGGGACAGACGCACGGACAGTAGGCAGCCTGTAGCAGAGTCACTTGAGGATGTGCGATGGGACAGAGACATGCTGCCATGTTCAGTAATTGGGGAAGAGGGGGTGTCACACGCTCTCTGACTTCCCGCAGAGATGAAACGCTGATGAGTCAACTTTTATCACTTCAGCAAAGGCCAAAGGTTTATCCTGCACTACTGCTCCTGCCTGCTTGCTTTGATTCCCAGCAGGACCAGCAAAAACAGGCTGATAGGAAACCTGCTTGCCCCCAAACTACTTAATTTACTTTGTATTACAAAATTAATAATTTGTTTTTAACGTTCCCTCACAAAGTACTATGCTGTAAAAGTGGTGTTTCCCAATCTGGTCCCCGGGGACCCACAGATGGTCCTCATTTTTTGCTCCCACCCTGCTTCCTGTCAGACAGTCCACATTTTTGCTCCCTCCCAGCTGGGAGGCAGCAAAAGCATGGTCTGTCTGCAGATCCCCAAAGAACAGATTGTCCTTTACATCACTGTTGCTCATTCACACTGACATATTCAAAAGGGACATTTCCTACTGAAATATCCACAGTGCTCATTTATATGGACAAGCATTTTCTACCACTTACTTCCAAGACCTCAGCTAGACCATGACCTCACACCTAAGCTAAGCTAACAGCAGTACTCAAAAGACAAGGCTGGAAAGATGTTGGCGAAATCAGCTAGAGCTTGCTGTTCATTAGACTGTGGAGTCCCTCAGAAAGCTCTGCAGCAATGCTTACTTTCATCCAGCACCTTCGGGGAGGAGAGAGCTGTTCCCTGAATGTGTTACATCCCCCAGTGAAGCCTGTGGGGTGCACAGTGGGAAGCGGGTGGATGACAGCATGCGTGTCAGAAGACGAGTGTGCTAATCACCAACTTTTCAGAGCTGCCATAAGTGTCTGTGTCCATCACTTGGTGAGACCAGGCCATGAGGGAGGCTCCACTACAGGCCTGAATATAGGCCTGACACCTCAATGCAGCCATCCAGCATGGTGTTAAAGGCCAACATGAGTCACTCACACCCAGATAGAAGGTGAGCAATCAAAGTCACAAAAGAGGTGAGCTACACATACAACTTAGGGAGATGTTTGAGGTTGGTAGGGTTTCAAGTTAAACCTGGCATAGACCACAACTTGCTCTGAGCATGACATAAAAACTTGAATGCCTGTCTGCAGTTAGAGAGCCATCTCCATGGGGGGGGGGGGTGGCTTATTAGTGAGAATGGGTTCCAAAAACGGTTCGACTTGAATTGTGCGGAAATGCTTTGAGATTTGCAAAATCCATTTTGAACCATTTGACTAACTTGCTAACTTTGCACACAAACAGGTGGCAACACAGCCAACTTTCACAAGTGCTCACTTATTTGGCAAAGCAATTAATGTTCATTTGTACTCTACAATTTCAAAACTTTAGTATAAAAACCCTTAACATACCTTAAGTGTAATATATTAATGTTACAAGCAGTGATTGTCAGGATAAAATTGCTGGATTGCTACATATATTTCCAATTTGGTTGGTTTGCAAACAAAAATCAAGATCTATATCATGATCATGATTCTAACCAAAAATATCCCAATACACCATTTTGGCCATATCACCCACCCCAAATTTGAATTCTGCCAAAAAATTATGTGCGGTCATTACGCTGAGAGCAGTGGCTGCGGCTTGCCAACAGAACCTTTACAATTCCTGCTGACATTGCAGTTAAAGTGAATTTCCATGGTAACTTGAAACTTCTGGGTTCAGTTAGACCACAACAAACTGCAACACACCACTTCCTGCATAAATGGGACACATTGTCTACAAATCTACGAACGTTAGCTAGGTGCTAACAAACATGAGCTGGGTGCAAAACACGAAATAGAAAGATATACATTCAACATTCTCAATGAAAAGGTAGTGAATAG